CAGGGGTGGCGATTGATTTGGGGATGGTGGATGGGGTTGGTTATGTGGGCGGATTCGGATATAGTCGTGTGGGGGAGGAGGTGTGTATGCGGGATCATCGGTCGTTGGTCGGAGGCGTATATGCTGCGGCCTGAATGTCTATGCTGTGCGGAGGTCGGTGCGTTGTGGTGGTGAGGTTGTGTCAAGACTGCACAGGTCGTGGTCGGGCTGGCGGGTAGTGTGTGTAGACGGGCAACAAGAGCGGTGTCCCGGGTGGGCGCGCGAGAGGAGGTTCGCTGCGCTGAGGGACGAGGATGTTGATGATGCGCGTGACTCGGCGGCGGGGAGGAAAGGAGCGTCTGGCTTGGGCGGGTTGAGAGAGCGTCTCGCTGGTGCGCGTGGCGTTGATGAGGCTGCTGGGTTGGTGGAAGGGGCTATTATCGGCAAGCTGGCTGATATGTTTGTCATTCCGGAGCAGGACATCGATGCCACGCGGCCGCTGGCAAAGCATGGGGTGGACTCACTGGTTTCCGTCGAGCTGAGGAACTGGATTGTTCCCATGATGCAGTGCGAGATGTCCATCTTCGAGTTGTTGCGTGCTTCTTCTCTCAGGGAGCTGGCCAAGAAGATCGTAAAGAAGAGCAAGCTGGTTTCTTTTGGCGATGGGCCGAGTGGGGAAAATACCTATAGTCAGCAGTAGCATTACTGTATAGAGAGCGAACACCTAGAAATAGAGGGTGTGATAGATAGACTTTATATGTTGTCTATGATGGATGAATGGGTGGATGGGCCATGAGTTATGAGAAGGAACTTCAGCGCCTTACCAAAAATACAAACGGAATGTTTCCGATGCCACCATGCCCAGTATCAACCCACCGCCTTTCTATCTATCCTATGCCCTCACCAGCTCCGGCTTCCCTCCCCAGCTTGGCCCATTTCACCATTCCCATTACCACCACTACCACCCCACCCATCAGCATTCTCCTCCTCATTACCCACCCCACTCCATCCCTCCCTCGCAACCCTCAACGCCCTCTGCATCCCCTCCAACCGCATCCTCTCCCCAACCACCATCCCCCTCGCCAGGTCGCGAATCGCCCGCCGACCCATGCGCTCGTGCATGTCCCTCCACCCGGCTAGCTCCCCAGCCACCGTCTGCTGCGCGTATCGCAGCTCCCTGCACAGGGTCTCGGCCTCGCCCTCGCTGCGGCGCGCCTTCTCCTCGCGTTCCTCGTTCTGCCGCTGCCTCGTCTCGTCCAACACCGGCAGGCTCAGGCCGAGCGGCCAGCGCGACGACCGGTTGAGCGAGTTGTAGCTGCGTTCCGCGTCGCGCCGCACAGCGTGGATGCGCGAGATGGTTTGGGGTGGTCGGGCGAGAGCCTTCAGGACGGACTCGACGTTGTTGTAGAGCGTGAGGAAGGTTGTGAAGAACTGGCGTGGGGGGACGAGTGGGAAGGGGTGAGGGCCTTGACGTAGGTTGCGAACGCGGTTATGTGGCCGGCGGGAAGAAAGGGCAGGGTGGAGAGGCTGCGGGCAAAGAGGGTTGAGGACTCGAAAAGGTCTAGACGGGGTAAACAACATCAGTACTCTACACTCATGTAGACGGGGAAAGTGGTTAAGGGGTAGAAGGGCGAACGTACCGATGACGACATTGCCGACGACATTGGCCCGCCGTGCGACACTCCTCGTAGAAAAGTGCACGCTGCGCACCATGTCCCGCGCATGGTCGATGAACTGCTCGACCTCACGCAGATCCTCCACCGGCTCGAACTCGTCATGCACCTTCTCCATCTCGGCATCCGCCTTCAGCTTGCTCCGCTCCGCCATCATATCCAACTGCAGGTCCGGCACGAGGAAGAACTCCCACAGCATCTCGTGCGTCGCAAACGTCGGGTGTTGGAGCAGAACCCTCAAGAACCAGTCCATCCTGATCTGCAGGTCCTTGAGCACGGCACGGCTGGGCTTCGAGGGGACCTGTATCGGCGAGCGCAGGTCCGCCAGGGAAGGGATCCACGATGCCGGGTTCTCCATCTGCAGCAACTTGGCGAGATGCTCAAAGTCGCTCAGGGACCGCCGGCAGGTTGTGACGGCGAAGCTCTGGCTATCCACCGGCGCGCCCGACTTGAGCACGAAGCGGACCGAGGCGTCCTCGACAAAGTAAGCGCGGACAACACCCGTGGTCCGGGAATCCATGCAGGGCATCTGGGAGAACAGCGTCAAGTCGTCGATCTTGTTCCGCACCTCGTCGTCCTTGGCCAGCTCGACCGCCGTCAGTCCCCGCAGCTCTCGCGCAGCGATGTCGACGCGCGGGTCGCCGAACAGCGCCCGGACCATGCCGAAGCGGCCGTATTTGCTGGCCAGCATCAGCGGCGTGAAGCGCTTCTCGTTCGTCGCGTTGACGTCGACGTCGCATTTTTGGAGGATCAACATGGCCAGGTGCGCGTCGTTGACAATGTGCAACAGCGTGTTCCCTTTGATATCGACATGGCTGTCCAGGTGCAGCGGTAGGTTATCCCCTTGGGTCCTGGTGGCCGCCTCTAACGCTTCTTTGACCATGACGGCGTAGTTGGGGTGATCGTACGACCGGCATAGCGCAAACAGCGGCGTTTGCCCGTTCTTGTCCTTTTGACGCCACGGTAGCAATCTACCGATGCGCTGTATTAGAAACGGCGCGTGGAACAAGTAGTGGGCGGCGCTCCTGCCCCAGGTGTCCTGGATGGCGAGGTAGCGGCTGATCCGGCTGTCGCTCGTAGCATCTAACAAGAAGTCGAGGACCGTGTTGACAATAGTCTCGTCACCTAGCTGGACGGCAGCGCTGAACAGCGTGGTCCCTTCGTTGTTCTGGTCATCCAGGACGACCTCGGCCGAGTAGTAGTTCCTCAGCGAAAGGAGATATTTCAGCGCCCCCGGCTGCCGATGTTGGATAGCCATCATAAGGACCGACTCTCCGAAGGCGTCTTGAGTTTGAGCGAGCCGGTCAATCGAGGTATCTCCCTCAATTCCGCCTATCGACCCAATACTCATCGGCATCGACCGGAAGGAGATCTCGGACCCGCTGGACATGCTCCTTGTGTCCATGGCCACCTTTTTGACTCGCTTAGGCGGAGGCATGAAGACCTCTTCCTCGTCTGCGTTCGTCCCATTCTGAAATGGGAACACATGGCCGAGGCCAGAACCCCGGGAGAAGCTCTCTAAGGTGGTAAAGCTCAGTGAGGACCGCCTCGAGATCCCGTTCGTGAAGCTCCAGCCACTGGACGATTGCCTGCGGGAGTGAGATGACCCGAATACGGGGTTGTCATCCTCGATGGCGTCCTCCTCGGGCTCCATTATCTTCCTCAACTCGGGGAGATCGCCTTTCGAAACGGCGTCCCACAGAGCCCTGTTGCGCCGGCTTGCCCTCCGCAGGCCGCCAGAGTCGCGGTCAAGGTATGACAAAACCGCTTCGCAAGTGCTGAGCGCATATCCCATCTCGCCGCTTTCTACGTCATCAATAAAGACAAAGTTTTGTATGTAAGCCAGCCTTGCCTGCAGATGCTTGATCTGTGCCTTTATTACAACGTAGAGCAACAGTGATACCAAGGTATCCGCGTTAATTGTCATGGGCGGTTTCTCTGTTGCTGATCCTAAGGCCTGCCCCGGTTGCGGCGCGTCCGAGAGCTGAGTTGCCGCCTTGGTCGTGGCTAAGAGAATCTCCATCATCTCCTGCGGGCAGCTGGCATGGGGCATTTTCCGGAACTCCTCGACCGCTCGACCGAGTCGATTGACGACGTCGCGCTTGGCACTGCTGCCCCCGTCGATAGCGACCCCCAGCTGCGAGATGTCGATAAAGTCCATCTGCCTGATTTTGGCCTCCAACTCCAGATCCTCCAACCTCCTAAGCGCCGCGAGTCGTGGGAATACCATGTGGTGCACGTTTTCGGTGATGTAGCGCTCGATCAGTCGCTCAACAAGCGGCCCCGTGAGATCCGTAGTAGCGCCCAGGAGTGAAAGCTGCTGCCTATCGACGCTCTGAAACAGGTCGATAGCAGCCGTGACGGCCGTCTCCATAGCGGTCCTCATAATGGTCTCGTCGTCCTGGAAGGCCCCGGGTACGGGGGTCCCATTGACCCCTTCGGAAGCGCCCAGACTAACATCGCTGTCTGACCTCGCTCTCTTCAGTGCCGTAGTTATTGGTCCATCTGGCTCCGGATCCGGTATGTTGTTGGCCGATGGCGGTGGTGGTAAGGGTCGTTCGAATACGAGTGTAAATTCGCGAAACAGCTTCTCCAGGCCGGCCTGCATCTGCTTTGCAATGGCCGGGAAATGGATGAGCAGCTCATGGAACGTCTTAATGTCTTTCTTCTTGGGCGAGCTGGAGGACTGCTCTCGGGTTTCTGGCGCCTTTGCGAGTCGGCCATCTCCTTCGGACGCCGGTGGCAGTATGGCTGGTGGCACATGAACTTCTTCCCACGATCCCACCAACGGACGCGATATGTAGTAGATTAAGAACGGTCGGGGGTCGAGAGTGTCGGGGTACCAGATGGCGTCGTGGAGAAGAATAGCTTGGGTTAACGACTTGAAACCTGGATAGACAAGGTGTCAGCGCCTTGCACTCAAAACAACAATCCAACGAAAAAGACAACAATACCCTTATTAGTGTAGATGCAGTTATCCTTGATGACGAGACTCCTGCCGTTGAAGGTACCGTAGACCTTGGGCTTCCCGCGCATCTCGCGCAGGCTCTGGGCGACGTCCTTCCCCCCCGGCCCCGTCGGCTTCGGTATCGGGATGCGCAGCACATGGCTGGCCAGGAAGTCATCCTGGGCGATGGAGGCCACCAGCGGCGCGCCCGTATCGCTGTCGCGGGCGTTGAGCAGGACATCTGCGGTGGGAACAAGGAGGATGTGCTGTTGGGTCGGCAAGCACTGGGCGAGGATAGGGCTCTTAGAGAAGGCGCTGAGGAATGGGTTTAGAGGTTGCATTCATTCAACTGGTATAGCGACCGCGCTGAGTGTTCGGGCGTCGCTGGGAATATGGCCACCATTGGGCGGTTCCTCGGAGTATAGAACCATACAACGGGCACTTGAACGAGGCCCAGGGTATGAGGTATACCTTCCAGGTTTATGCAGCTGTATAGCCCGATTTCAGGGTCCGGGGCTCTCGGAGAGGGTTAGGTGGTGCAGAGAATGCTCGGCTTTTGTGTCGCGGTGGCCTGATCTTGTGTTGAAGTTTATTCAATGGGGTTGAAGCGAAAATTCTGGGATCAAGTATCCAGAAGAAGATTGAAGCAAAGTTTGTTGTAAATCACAGCTATCACCACAGCACAGCACACTTGAAGAGGAGTTGATGGAAGCTCCGCCGCTATGTGCGATGGATACCGCGAATCAGTGGCGCGAGACAGGGATGCTGCGGCGGCACACCTGGGCACCAAGCTTCGCTGTGCAACCGTGCACGGTGAAGGGTGCAGGCTGACTTCTCCTCTCTCAACCAATTAGATCCGATCCGTTAACGGGCGATCTCCCGCGGAAAGCAGTGGAGGGACCCAGGGGGCAATCAATGTGGGAAGCTTGCAGGTTCAACGCTCCGTTTTGCTGCCACAGTTCCACAAGAGTGAAAAGTCTGTAGTCCAGTTGTGGGTTGTATCTCTGGGGTGTGTCAAATGCACAGCTTTACAGTCTTGAAAATCTTCTTTTACTTAATTTATTATGCGATGCTGAACTACGGCGGCGCGGGATAAACTCGGTGCCTGTACTGGCCGAGGCCTCGTCCACCGCATATATGCAACGTGGTGTGCATCTAAGGTAGGCACCCAGGTCTATCTCATCCCACTCAGGGCCCTTCAAGTTCAGGCCGGCCATTAGGTTTTCAAGTAGCTAGACTTGAACACTCCATAACCAGAGCACAAGCTTGTGGGCTACCTGTGCAGTCTGTGTTTCATCCACTAGGTGTCCTGCAGCAGCCTACTCATACTTCAGAAACTGTGTAGAATTTAGCTGCGATCTTAGGCCTTGGCAGCACCAGCCTTGATCAGCAAGATATCGCCGTCCTCGACCACGTAGTCCTTGCCCTTGGTCATGACCTTGCCCTTCGCCCTCACCTCGGACTCGTCGCCGAGCTCCTTGAGGACGTTGTAGTTGTACACAATGACCTGGATGAAGGTCTTCTCAAAGTCAGTGTGGATGACACCCGCCGCTTGCGGCGCCTTGGTGCCGTTCCGGATCGTCCATTGGCGGACCTCATCGGGGCCAACAGTGAAGAAGCTGCCTAGGTTGAGCGCCTTGCGCATCTGAACGATGATCTTGGGCAGCGCAGACTCTGCGCCAACCTTCTTGCACTCATCTGCAACCTCCGCCTCGGTCTCAAACCGAGTCAGCCGCTCCTCGAAGGAGACTGAGATAGGAATAATGGGGTCGCCCTCGGCATGCTCCTTGAGATACTCAGCGACCTTGGGGAGATACTTGTTCTTCTTCCGGATGTAGTCTTTCTCCGAAAGGTTGACCAGGTAGACCACCGGCTTAGCTGACAGGAGGAAAAGCGGATTGATGACCTCAACCTAATAAAGAATTAGCGTCCAAGTCGCTATTTTCTTTGCGATGGTGACGTAGAGATGTGGAGTGACGGGAGTCAGAATGGGGTTTTTATCTCAGCTTGCACTCAGCGTTATTGGAGAGGCAATCGACGAGCTGGGTTATTAGATCGGACCATTGGTCCTTTATCATCATGGTGGAAAGCCAGGGTTGTAGAACCAAAATAAAACAGGAAATAAGCGGCCTACCTCCTTAGAAGTCCAGGTGCCCTTGCGGACATCCTTACCCTCCTTCAACCAGGCAAGGATCTTCTCGATCGTCGCTTCTTCAGCCTTCCATTGCTTCATCTGGAGAGACTGACCGCCCTGGCGTGTCTTCTTCTTTTGGTTCTCGAGCGCCTTCTCGACAAACTCGATGTCCTTCAGCCGCAGCTCCTCGCCGATGATGTCGAGGTCGCGGGTCGGATTGACGTCACCTTCGACGTGGATAATCTCCGCATCGTCGAAACACCTCACAACCTGAAAGATGGCATCGACGGCGCGAATGTGAGACAAGAAGGCATTGCCAAGACCAGCACCTGTTGAGGCACCACGGGTCAAACCAGCGATGTCATAAACTGTGAGGTTGGCAGGCACCCGCGACTTGGGGTTGTACTTCTCGCACAGCCAGTCATAGCGGGCATCAGGGACGATGACGCGGGCCTCCTCAGGGTCAATAGTAGCATAAGGGAAGTTCTAGCGGCGGAATCAGCGACGGTGGTCCTTGCGAGAGGTCTCGGGGAGTCGCGCGCATACTGCAGGGTTGCCCAGGGTGCACTTGGTGATGGCCTGGAAAAGCGTGGACTTGCCAACGTTTGCTAGCCCAACCTGTTCGTCCGAGACAAGTCAGCGGAGCTGAGGCGTTCATGTCGACCGACGCAACCCACAATGCCGCTCTTCAGGTTGTTTCCGGGACGGCCCAGGAGGATCTTCTCCTCGACCACGGGTTTCTTGGGAGCCATCTTGGTTCTTCGTTTGCTATAGTGACGAGTGGGGATGCAGATGACCGCGCAATCAAGCAGCGGCTTTCTGAGAAACGCAGATCTAGCTGCGGGGGTTCGAAGGAGGGGTAAGGTAGAAGTGAAGATAAGAGAAGGAATTGAAGGCGACGTGGTGACGCGCTCGTGGACTTTTTGCCACGAGCTACGTTATAGGTCCAATTGCTCAGACAAGTGAATGTCTAGCAATCGTGTAAATTCGGGGATGCTGCGGACAAACGCGGCTTGTCAAGTGTGGTCAACCGTTGAGCCAACGTTTTCGCGAGGTGATGAAAGTTGGAGAGTGAAAATTTTGGACGAGCTTGCAGGCATGGCGGGGTTATGAAATTGGTGGGGCGACCGACGGGAGAAAGGCCCGGGCGTGCACGAACCAGCATTGCCCCACTCCGAATTTCAGCTGGGAGAACCCTGTGGGTCTCTCCAGCCTTGATCGAACTCGATCGGGAGCCTGCACAATGCGTCGTCACCTTCAGCACTGGCAATCACTCGGTTGACCCTATCTTCAACAGATTTGCTCCGACTATATCTTTGGGCCCTGGAATCCGATTGACCATCAATACCGATTCTTACACCCCACTATTTACACTCTTTACCATCATCTTGCCACACCTTACCCTCTTCACTAAGCATCCAGTTCTACAAAGCACCAATCCGACAGCCTCCTGCCTTTGTCTCTCGGTTCGCTTCCAATTGCCAACCTCCCCACCCTCATGGGTTTCCAACATCGCCACGTCTAGCCCGCATCTCCCTGTGTCTTTGACATCGATCATCGAAATATCACCTCCCTCCTCCGACCACTGGCAACCGTCACGACCTCACACCCTCAACACAACCCACCACATCGCCCACCATGCCGACCCGAAAACACCAAAAGAAGCCCTCCCGCTCCCACCGCTCGACCCTCTCCCTCCAAAAGACCGAAATCCTCATCCACATCTACGACCTCCTCCCCCCCGGCCGCATCTCCACCGTGCTCTGGCACATGGGCACCTCGCTACTCCACTCGGGCGTCGTGATCAACGGCAAGGAATACGCCTACGGCGGGCACGACCGGCGCGGGCTGACGGGAGTCTACTGGACCAAGCCGCGCACCGAGCCGCCCGGCGGCACCTTCCGGTGCGAGTACCTGCACGGCTTCACGCTGGCGCCGCAGGCCGAGGTCGACGCCATCATCCGCGAGGCGTCCGAGGAGTTCCTGGGCACCGGCTACAACCTGCTGACGCGCAACTGCAACCACTTCACGTCGTATCTGTGCGAGCGGTTGACGGGCGAGCCCGCGCCGGGGTTTTTGAACCGCGCCGCGAGCATCGGTCTGGCCCTGCCGTGCGTCGTGCCCAGGGAGTGGATCGAGGTGCCCGACTTTGACGCCGCGGACGGCGCGGCGCTGGATGAGGACGAGGAGGGCTATGATAGCGAGAGGGCGAGGATGCTGAGGTCGTCTGGGGACCAGCCGCGGTTGGTCGGCCAGGAGGACCGGGACACGGGCACGGAGTGGGACAGTGAGGAGGAGCGCGAGCGGGGTGGCAACGGCAAGGGGAAGGGCAAGGCGCCGGTTAGGGACTCAGCGGGGAGGATGCTTCCTCCTGCGGAACGAGCGCCGATTTCGTGAAGTTCAGTCAGCTTTTTCTTTTGTTATTCTTTCTTCTCTTCGGGCATTGGTTGGAGTTTGGATGGGGCCTTGGAGGCAATTTGATGCGTGATACCACGGTTACCACGGTGGGCTGGGCCACACTGCCACGGCCGGCGTTTGAGGGTGGTATGGCAGTGCTTGTTTTCTCCGGTAATCAGCGTAGGATGAGGACTTTTGTGTTTTAGTGGGATGGGATAGGACATGCCCAGTAGTAAACCTTGACTTGGTATGGCGGGAGGAAAGAACCTAGAACTTATTATGTTTTATCAAGTCTTGCTTGGAATTTGGTTTCTGGAAGCGAGGTCTAGAATCCAGCGGCCGGTCCAACCTTTATTGAACGATACTTGAAGTCGTGCAACCCGAAGAGGCCTTTCAGCTGTGTTGTAGCCGTTGGTGTAACCCACCAAATGAACGATCATGGTATCACGACCAGATCATTATGCTAATAGCTATTTTCGTGGGCTCACGGAGAACTGTTTCTTGGCTTCTGAACTAGTGTCTGGTAAAGCGACAGAGCTACCACAGCGAGACACACACAATGGGCATTGATGCCACGGTGCCAATGATGAAGAGTTCTTTTTTTTTTTCTCATTCAAGTACGCAGTTATTTGGATGAATCCAATTCAATCAGATCCTTTATTCCCACAACCTTCTTTACACAGTTGATTACCGGCCTAGCCTTGCCCAGTCGCCCCTAAAACCCCAAACTCAAGCTGCAACACCCTTCCCCGTCAACGCAGCCTTCGCAAGCTTTCCATCCGGCGCACCCCCAACCTCCTCGGCCGCATCCTCATGCTCGCGGTTCCACTCCACGATCTGCTCACAAACACCCTCAATGGTGGTACACGCGCCCTGGTAGCCAAACCCACCGTCCGCAACACTCTTGCGGGCGGCGCTGTCGTCGATGACGGTGTGGATGGAGACGCTGAAGATGGCGGGCTGGAGCATGTGGATGGGGCCGGAGGGCTCGCGCAGGCCGAAGACGGTGGTCAGGAAGGGCAGGCGCGCCAGCAGCAGGCACCAGGCCTCGATGGCGTAGGCGACGAGCAGCAGGGCCAGCGGGCTCTGGCGCTTGTCGCGCACGCGCGTGACGGACAGGTGCTCGCCGGCCTCGTAGATGTCGGCGAAGGTGATGGGCGGCCCCACGTCGGTCACGTTGAAGGTGCGGCCGGCGCAGGCGGGCATGGGCGCATCCTTGCGGGCTAGGGCGGCCTCGAACTGCAGGTGGGAGAGGGCGACGTTGCGCGAGTTGACAAAGTGCTGCACGACGTGCGGGATCCAGGTCACGTTGTCGCCCAGTCGGAGTAATATGCCGATGACTGGGTCGGTCTTTTGGCCGTAGATCGGGTTGCCGGGCCGGATAGTGCCCGTGCGGAAGCCGTCTTCGTTGGCACCGCACACTGCGCGCTCGGCTTCGGCTTTGGAGCGGGCATCTGCGGTCGAAGTCAGAACGCGGCGCAGAAGAAGGGATCAAGAGTGGGAAACTGACAGTTGGAAAAGAACAAATCATGCGCGCGCAGGGGAGCATCAAAGTCCTTCTCGTTGGCAATCTGGTAGTACCTCTTCGGGTTGCTCTGCCATGGCCAGATCCAGAAGCTGGGGGGCACAATGCTGACAGAGGCGGACGAGGTGGCGATGAGGATATCAGCACCCGCATCCCGGGCGGTCTCGAGGACGTTCACGGCGCCATCCCGGTTCACGGAACTGATGCGGTGGTAAAAGAGTGGGTTCCGTTCCTGAGGCCGGACAGCAGCCGCGGTGTGGAAGACGGTCAGGGGCAGCTTGGCAACAGACTTGGGCCACGGCTTCGAGAAGGCAGCTTCGACAGACGACCGGGAGGTAATGTCGGCTTTCACAAAGTCACAGCCGGCAGCCGTCTTGACCATGTCCCGCCGGTTGAGCGGCACGAAGTCGACGACACGGATGCTCTCAGGCGATTCGCCGCGCTGGAGCAACTGCAAGACAATGTCTCCTCCCACGAGGCCTAAACGAGATCAGCGCAAGGTCCAAGCCCGAGAATGTCTAATTTGGGCTGGGCAGAGTGGCTCACCTGACCCGCCGACAACGACATACCGCCTATTCAGGCGTGGCGGGAGGAGCCGAGCATAGTCGATCGGGTTCTGTCTCACCCGCTGATAAACATTCCGAAGCTGATCTTTTGTCCAGCGGCGAGGCGAGATTTTCTGCACGTCTTCAGGCACGCTTTTCATAGCCGAATTAATGCGAGCCAGCCATGCCGAAGCGATGACGGCAACCGCCGCGATCACGACCCAAAACATGGGTGGATGGTTGTGGTGCTTTTGTGTTTGTTTTTTGTTTTGTTGTCCAATGGGCACGAAGAAGGTACGAAGTGGGTATCTCAAGTCGCGATAATGTCCCGGCTCAGGTCAGAGGAAGGAGCAGTCTACATATGTATTTGTAGATAAACCAGAAATGATAAAAAATGTCATCAATAACGAGTAACCGAGGGAAAAGGGGCCTTCCAAGACGTGCCCCGAGTCTTGCGGTCGGGTCCTTCGTACAGAATGAACTTGCGAGTTCAATACGGACGACGACCAAATACTAGTGTTCTCCACTCTCATAGTGGTTGGTGCGATGATTGGTTTGTTCGGAGGAAACCCATGCAACTACACTACCCAGTGTTTTTCCTCGGGCTTCACAACATCCCAGACCTTCCCAGCTTCCATATCAAGCCCGATAACCGTTGTGACAGTGATCAAATGTTTCGGAGAGTATGCATGGCGAACGCAGGTAGAAACGTTATTCGATCAGCTCTGTTGCTCTGCGGAACTTAGACTGTACACAACAAACCAGATTGCTGGAGCATCGGGCCGGCCGTTCGAGGCCGCTAGCTAGGTATTACGAGATGAGACGGTCAGGCCAGACGCCCGTGACGCCGTCCTCACAGCAAGCATCGGACGAAAGCCATCTGGAGGCCTAAAGGAATTGGATTTGCCTTAGCTACATAGGTAGTTACTTCTTATTTTCCTCAGGATTTTTTACTCGACTCTTTTCTTCGATTTCTTTTGCTCAGATTCTTATTTGCATTTTGTTCTTTTCCCTACCTTTTCAAGTTCAGCTTCTTTTGGTCAGGGACGGATAGATACCGTCCCAAAGCGCCACGCGATCATGATCGCACAAAAAGACGGGAGAGGATTTGGTGTGGAGCTCAGCTTCATCTGTCCCTCGTTATCCATTGTGGGGATCGAGATCAACAACGGGATCCTGTGGCGATCGCTGCAGCTTGTTGCTTACCTCATCACAAAATGCTCACGACGACTTCAACCCAAAAACTGCCTAAAACAGATGTCGCCGGAACATGAGCACAGGGGGCGCGGCGGCATAAAAAGCTCGGGTAGGATGAAACAACAAGGCAGCGCCTGAAGAGACAGCGTATCTTGCCCCCACGACCCGGTCTAGTGGACCTGCTAGTTGGGTAATTTTTGGATCTCCGGGACCATCGGAACGGTGGGCCGCTAAGTTTCTCGGGTTCGGGACTGCAGCGCTCATCGATTTGTTTGCATCGGGCGATATCCATGGACTCCCAACCTCTTTTGCGCGCCGCTTGCGTCAACCATCCGATGATGAATGCAGTGAATGAACGAAGCGAAGCCCATTGCGGGGTGTTTGATGTGCCAGTGCATGTGCCGATGCAAGGGTATGAAATGGCCGGCGGCGAATGCTCGGCTGCCAAAACAGTGACATCGTCACCAAGCAGGGGGGCTGGGATGGAAGGAAAGGGGCCGTCGTCAACCCCGGACCAACCACACGATAGACTAATTCAACCAATCACCCGCCGCCCAGCCCTCCGTTCACAGACTTTTCCCACTTTGTGCCGGGACCCGGTTTGCACTTTCGCACTAGGAAGGAAGCTGCTGTTTTGATTCTCTCCTCTGGCGGCGAGACTCGCCCGCTCTCTCGATTTCTCCCACAGCAACAACCTGACCTTTGGAAAGAGATTTTACGTATTTACCTCCTCTTCCTCCATTGCCACATTCCCAATCGCATTTTCGTAAACACCATCCATCTTGAGCATCAGTTTCCCGCCAACCGAAATTCATTCGCAGTCCAAATCCGAAACCTCACAATGCGTCAAAACATCCTCCTCGTTGCCCTTTCGGCGGCCACCGTCGCCAGCGCCGCAGAGCGCAACTTCACCATTGACACTAGCACTATCAAGCCCTCGCTCAAGGGTATGCGTTGCTAGCTCTCTTGCTTCCGTGCGCTCTTGGACTGACAACGGCCCAGCGGATTGGTGTGGTGCGGAATATAACAGTT